AAAGAGTCCCGTTCCTGGGCCCACGCCTCGCACCGGAAGAGGGTGTGCAAAGCGCTATCAGCCTCTCCCGGGCGATCCGAACAGTGGTCGCACGTCGGCGCGGCTGCTTTACGAATACGGTGTAAGTACTCGTTAAAGCAGCCGTGGCCGGACATTACTAGATGTTATCTGACAGTGATTAAAATCATTATCATAAGAAACGATTCAATGCAAACCTGTAGATAGTGTTTAGTTTTAAGAAATTGACATAGGCAATGATTTTTACTGAATAGGCAAACGTTCCGTGCATTCGTTTTTTAATAAAATTGGCAATTTAAGCTAATTGAAATGTTAAAATTAATCTTTTCGACTCAAAAGAAAAAAAAATTGAAATATGTTTAACTTCATATTCTATATCAATTAGTTTTATATAATATTCATGAAAATCAGTGTACTCGATTATAAGGTATATTGATATAAATTAAATTACAATACCAAGAAATTTAACACATATAGCACATTTTTGAATATGATATCCATGTTCACTATATCTCGAAATTTAAAAAAAAAAAAGATTCTCGAAAAAAAAAGATTACAAAATTGTATCTAGTCGAAAATATACTAACACTTTTATGTATACCTTAAATGAAGCTTATATAATATAATTTATTTTGAAAAAAAAACCCCAGCACGGGGGGCCGAGGCACAGTGATGACGTGTCATAGTTGGATCAAGTGTAATGATATCTGACAGTGATTAAAATCACTATCATAAAAAACGCTTCGATGCAAATCTGTAGATAGTGTTAATTTAAAAAAAAAAATTTGTCAAAAAAGTAGGTCAAGTGAGAGCTGAGAAAATAAATAATAGCTAAAAAAAACCACATAGTAAAATAATATTAATATGAATTTCTTCTCACGAGAGGAGACTACAGTATTGGTATCCATGATATTTATTGAAGTTATTGAATCTAAATGAAATAAAAATCCAATGAATTAAACATTTTTTCTAACTCTAAAAGAATTCAGAAAAAATTCAGTGCAACAGTGTTACCGTCTCAGAAATCGTACCTCGCATTCGTCACTTAATAAAAATGGAAATTTAGCTAGTTCAAATTTTAAAGTTATTTTTCTCGACTTCAATGAAACAAAATAATTTAAATTTGTTTAACTTTTTATACTATGTCAGACGCCGATCTATTCGAAGCCGGTCTTTTGATCGCTCGATAGACGGCGCCCACTCCGCCCGATTAACTGGTCTCCGCGGGCGAGGTGGTGGAAGAGCTGGACAGGAGAGTCGAAGTCGCTTGCGACTTCGCACTCGCCAGAACGCGTCCGCCACCTACCCGGGGACCTCCCGTTCATTGGTGGAACGCGGAGGTGGCTGCCCTGAGAGGTGACTGCGTCAGGGCAAGGAGAGCCCTGACGCGGTCCAACAAGAGTGGGCAGGCGGACCCTGAGGAACCCGATCCCAGGGAGTTGCTGAGGGAGGCCCGGAAACAGCTGAAGCTCGCCATCAGGCGTAGCAAAGCGCGTTGCTGACCCGACCTCGTGAAGTCGGTGGATCACGACCCTTGGGGAAAACCCTATAAGGTCGTGATGCGCAAGCTGCGCGACCCACCGACTTCGGGGCAACTGGAGGCGGAAACGTTGGAACAGACGGTCCACGCGCTGTTCTCGACTCATCCGCCTCTACCACCTCTGGGTGACTGGCCGTCCGTCGGAGACGACGCGACCGTCGGGGGTTTCACCCGAGAGAAGATATCCGCTGCGGTAGCGAGAGTTCGTGGAAGAAACACCGCGCCCGGTCCGGACAGAATACCGAACCGGGTGTGGGGTCTCGTCCACGTCCTCGCACCGCAGTGGTTAGACACGGTATTAAACGTGTGTCTCCGTGAGGGTGAAATCCCGTCCCGATGGAAGAGGGCGAGGTTGGTACTCTTGCGGAAAGGCGACAAGCCCGAGGGTGTCCCCTCGTCGTACCGGCCTCTTTGCATGCTGGACGACGTGGGGAAAATCCTCGAGCGGCTGTTGGCCACCCGCATAGAGCACCACCTGACGACGGTCGGTGGGCTGGCGGACGGCCAGTTCGGGTTTAAGAAAGGAAGGTGGACGGACGACGCGGCCTCCCTGTTCCAGCAGCTGGCCGTCAGGGACGAGAACAGACCGGGCTTCTGCGTTGCGGTGAGCCTGGACATCCGGAACGCTTTCAACTCCGCGCGATGGTCACACATCCTAGGAGCGTTGGAAGCGTGCCGGGTGCCTCCGTACCTCCGCCGAATGATCCGGTCGTACTTCAGCGACCGGGTCATCGAGTATGCGAGTGCCGCAGGGCCCAGAACCAAAACCGTAACGGGAGGAGTCCCGCAAGGTTCGGTTCTTGGGCCCTTGCTGTGGAACATTGCATACAACGCGGTGTTCGGCGTTCCGCTGCTATGGGGAACACGTGTCATCTGCTACGCGGACGACACGCTCGTGGTGGCGGAAGGCACTTTGGCGGAGGAAGCTGGTATCCGGGCAAACGGTGCGTTGAGCGCCGTCACTGAGTGGATCCAGCAGGAGGGGACCGGCTTGTGCCTAGCGTTGGAAAAAACCGAAGCAGTTTTGTTCACGCGAAAGTACAAATACGTTCCTCCGAGGCTCACCGTACTGGGGACTGATGTCCCGCTGAAGCGGACCATGAGCTATCTGGACCTGCTCATCGACGACAGGTTGATGTTCGGGCCGCACATTGAACGTGCGGCCCAGCGGGCTCAGAAGGTCATGGACCGCCTGGCGGGACAAATGCCGAATATCGGGGGACCGAGGGAACATCGACGCCGACTGTTAGTCAGCGTTATTCATTCGGTCCTCCTTTACGGCTCCCCAATCTGGGCGGGTTACTGGAGTACTCGCCCAAGAACGCAGAAGCGCTGAACCGGGTCCAGAGAAGGGCCGCTCTCCGGACGGTGTGCGCATACCGCACCGTATCCGGAGTGGCGGCCAGGATCTGCCGCCCGCGGACTTGTTGGCCGTCGAACGCACCAACGGATATGAGCTCCGGAAGAACACCGGTCAACCGTTTCGCGCGGAGGACCGGCTGCAGCTCCGGAGCGTAACCGTGTCCAGTTGGCGCCAACGACTGGCCGACGAGGAATCCGGGGGAGCGTAGACGAGGTCCCTCATCGGACCCAGCCGGCTCGACAGATGGATTGGCCGGACTCACGGGGAAATGACATACCGTCTGTCGTAACACAGTAAAAAGTAAAAGGGAAAATGATATTAGGTAAATGTTGAAACTATGTGTACGAAGATGAATATGAGGAGGTGGTGCCTGCTGTCTAGGTATTCACGTGCGTGTTGTCGTACAGCAGTCACCGTGCTCGGCTGACACTCCGGGTTAGCTGTGGGTGTCGAAAGGCTGTTGTTATAGGAAGGGAGAATAAGAGTAACACCTAGGTATGAGGTGCAGACGAAGTGCAAGACACAAATACTAGGTGTACGCAAAAGGAGCCCAAAGTATGAGGTGCAGACGAAGTGCAAGACACAAATACTTGGGGTATAGGAGAGGACAATGAAGTACGAGGTGCAGACGAAGTGCAAGACACAAGTACTCCAAAGAGAGAACGGGGTAGCCGAGTATAAGGTGCAGACGAAGTGCAAGACACAAATACTGGGCGTACCAGATAAGGAGTATAACAAAGCACGAGGTGCAGACGAAGTGCAAGACACAAGTACTTTAGTTATTAGGAGAGGATAATGAAGTACGAGGTGCAGACGAAGTGCAAGACACAAGTACTTCAAAGAGAGAACGGGGTAGCCGAGTATAAGGTGCAGACGAAGTGCAAGACACAAATACTGGGCGTACCAGATAAGGAGTATAACAAAGTACGAGGTGCAGACGAAGTGCAAGACACAAGTACTTTAGTTATTAGGAGAGGATAATGAAGTACGAGGTGCAGACGAAGTGCAAGACACAAGTACTTCAAAGAGAGAACGGGGTAGCCGAGTATAAGGTGCAGACGAAGTGCAAGACACAAATACTGGGCGTACCAGATAAGGAGTATAACAAAGTACGAGGTGCAGACGAAGTGCAAGACACAAGTACTTTAGTTATTAGGAGAGGATAATGAAGTACGAGGTGCAGACGAAGTGCAAGACACAAGTACTTCAAAGAGAGAACGGGGTAGCCGAGTATAAGGTGCAGACGAAGTGCAAGACACAAATACTGGGCGTACCAGATAAGGAGTATAACAAAGTACGAGGTGCAGACGAAGTGCAAGACACAAGTACTTTAGTTATTAGGAGAGGATAATGAAGTACGAGGTGCAGACGAAGTGCAAGACACAAGTACTTCAGAGAGAGAACGGGGTAGCCGAGTATAAGGTGCAGACGAAGTGCAAGACACAAATACTGGGCGTACCAGGTGAGGAAAGATAACAGAGTACGAGGTGCAGACGAAGTGCAAGACACAAATACTTGGGGTATAGGAGAGGACAATGAAGTACGAGGTGCAGACGAAGTGCAAGACACAAGTACTCTAAAATGTCGAGGAAAAGAGTATATAGGTTAGAAAAGGAATAAACAAAGACTTTACTTTAAACAGTAAGCCGGACAGCGACAACCGANCTAAACAAAGACTTTACTTTAGACAGTAAGCCGGACAGCGACAACCGAGTACTGAGACTGATGAATGACACAAGGCACTGGAGTCGACTGACCACGATGGTCAGGTCTATTGGGTTTTTATAATAATTACACTTATTGCCGATTTGGCAATAAATATTATTTGTTAATTCACCAGTCTCAGGCAGCGGATGTGCTGTCTGTATTTTATTAAAATAATTCTCACGATTATGAAAACGTGACACCATCACACGTCTAACCCAGGTGATCTCCGGTCAGGGCTGTTTCAACGAATACCTTCACGGTATTCGGAAGGCAGCCGCGCCGACGTGCGATCACTGTCGAGATAGCCCGGGAAAAGCGGACAATGCTCTGCATACGCTCTTCCGGTGTGAAGCGTGGACCAGCGAGCGGGAGGAGTTGGAATCCCGCTCGGGGTCCGCGTTGGGTGTGGGGTCCATGGTGGACCTAATGCTGAGAAGCCAGGAGGGGTGGTCTCTGGTTCAGGCATTCGCCAAATCGGTGATGAGCCAAAAAGAGGAGGCCGAACGTCTGAGGCAGAGACTGCCCCGGATAGGGGTACCTGCGGCGTCGGCTAGACTGGCGCCGTAGGTGCATATTTTTATGTGTCTGTGTTTTTTATGTGTCTTGTATGTTTTGTGAGTTATTTTGCCCAACCCTCGCGAAGTCCTGCCCCGACCTCCACGTGGTGCAACCCGGGCAACGGATCCCGCCTTTTGGGATCCGGCCAACGGGGGAGGCCACACAACGTTGTGAATCAGCTCTTGATTAATTTCGGGCTGATTCACAGCGTGGTGGTGTGAATTTTAGACGGCGTGGGCCGCCCTGAAGCAATACCTCGCGGTAGTTCCAGGGCGGTCCACAGCATGCCGGCGGTGGAAAAAAAAAAAAAAAAAGACTTTCTGAAATATGTCAATAAATACATAGTACTTTCAGTATCAATTTAATTTTTAGATGTCATGTACAAAACATAGAATTGGTCCCATTATGGACATCTTTGAAATATTGATAAGTAAAATCGAAATTTGATTATTAATTTTAATTTATTTCAAGCATTGATAAAAATTAGCTATTACATAGAATTTGATTTTGATATTTATTTTTAAATTATAAATTATATTCGTAAAATATAAGATGATAAATTTATTATATGGTTATCAGTTAGCACAATCTTAGTCTTTAAAGCACATTAATATTTGCTTCTATAATTTTTATGTGAAACTTGATACTCCATGTTAATATGCACAACGAATAAGGTAGTAACTCACTTTTAAATACTTCTCAGGTGATCAAAAATTAAATTTTTTCTCTGATAGCACCTATATGTTTATCAATTTTCTAAGTAGTTTAATTCCAATTCGATGTTATGATTAAAGTTAATATAAGAAGAGTAAAATACCTTATAATCTTAAAGTAGATTTTTTTCGTTGCGCATAACGATGTGTTTTCATAGGAATCAAACTACGAAAATGATTGTACAATTAAAACTTTTGACTGTTAGTTGTTCTTGCATTGAAGATAATATGTTGCTATGTAAAATGCTGAACAAAATCTAAGGGAACAAGTAAAAGATTAGTAATTTCCCAAGTAAATTTTAATCATAATCTGGATAGTTGATCATCAAAAAAATAAAAAACATTATTTTATTACATGTCATTAACATATGATTAATCGGCTCATAGTAACTGTAGCACTAAAGATAGTAGTGAATTAAAAAAAAAGGATTATTACAGCAATTATAGACGAAAATAAGTAATAGAAATAAATTAACAAGATCGAAGCAGTTTGTAAATATAGTTTACATTATTTATTTTTCTGTAATACTCAAATAAGTAAAATTAGTGTCGTTAATAATATAATTTTTTTTAGGTAATTTAAATGTAAAAGAAACTAGTCTTAAAAAATAGTTTGGCACACGATTTAAATCATATATTAGACCTTTCTTATGAGGATTTTAGAGCGTTAATCCAAAACTGATCGCACTAGCGATATATAAAATATTCGTATAAACAAAATTTCAAAATTGAAACAGTTTCGTCTGATAAACCCATCACTTTAAGTTTTCTTGTAGTTTCTATATGGTAATTAAATGATAAATGAGACAAAAAAAACATATTTTACCGATTGTAATACTTAATTTCGACTTCGATAAAACGTAATTATAGTGCATTTATTGTGATATCATTTAAAGAACATCATAATTATTTTAAAACTATTGTAGTCACTTTGCAATTTTATACTATCAGTTTCTGAGCTAATACTCATGTATCAGTTCAGGATTTTTCGAATCAAGGCTTTTTCAAATATGTGTAAATAGAATCAACTTAAATTAAAAGTTTTGTTAACTTAGACTTATAGTTCATAAATTCGTGTTGCTGACTACAAATAAATTTATTATAGACTACTATTACCGGTATATGTAAATTTGACACATACAAGTTTTTTAAACATTTTAGGCAATTCACTGAGTTTTGAAATTAGGCTACCTGATTTTAAGATAGAAGAAAGAAAACTTTATATACAAATATTTTATACTAGGTATATAATTTAAATGTATGTATCCATTTGAAGTAGGTGTCTTTAAATAAATACTATTTATCACTTTTACGTATTGTTAAAAAATTTCGATTGGTTAAAAGTTGAAATAAAAAATTAACATTAAAAAAAACTATCAAGGTAACTATCGTTTTATATTTTATTAACTGAAAAAATATTTATTTTACTATTCCTCGTTTTTTTGCTATTTACATAAATATTCTACTCCTACTGAACCAATATTGCTTAATGATACAAAAAAAAATACAAATTATATTTTACAATTTGTATCTATTTCAAGCTATCAATGTTAAAACTTAAAATAAGTTCGGAAAATCAAATTTTAAGAAATTAAAAACCAATATATATTGATTATTTCTAAATAACATAATTTTTTAACATATTTATCAGACTAAATATTTTAAAATGTAACAAAATACAGTAGAGATCAAGTGTAATCGAGGGGTTTTTAGATTGATATTGATTGATATAAGACAATTTTAAAATCATTGTAGTAAAATGCTTCGATACATATTTAAATCTAATTAAAATAAATTTATTGCGTGCACTTAAAATTACATGATTTTCGACTTTATAAATAGATTACTAATAAAACACAAGTTATCGGAACGTTTTTCTTTTTTTAATTATATAGTACATTAAATAAGCTATAATTTTAATTTGTTATGAACGATGTAGATGTTTCTTTGATTCGTAAAATTGGAAATTTTCACCGAAAATTGAATAATTTTTGATTTTAATAACTAAAAGAAATCGAAATTTCTAATAGTCATTATTTTTTTTATCATAAAGTACATAGTATTAGCTTTAATATGATGTAGAATAAATTATATTTATCTTTTTGGTTAAAAAAAAAAATAAAAATAAAATAATTTCTAAGTTCCCAAAAAGATCTTATATTATAATTATATTTAAAAAAAAAGATTACAAAATTGTATCTAGTCGAAAATATACTGACACTTTTATGTATACCTTAAATGAAGCTTATATAATATAATTTATTTTGAAAAAAAAAACAGAGAAGGTATTGGTTTTACTATGTTGTGTTTTTTTTTGTTGTCTGTTACCACTTTTTCTTATCTCTCACCGAACCGATTTCTTTCAATGATAGGTCAAAAGATCACAAATTGTATATAGTCGAAGACATTACCCTCAAAAATTGAAAAAATTTCCTTCGTTCCCCGTAAATGGAGAAAACCTCTAAAAAGTTACAAATTTAAAAATCGCTAATTTTCGACATTTTTTCAATATTTTTTCTTTAAACTGTCATAACTTTTCAAAAATAATCAAATCAATATAATTTTTTATTTATAAATGCATGATATCACTACCTTTCGTTTGGTATATTTTTTTATAAATCTGACCCTTTAACTGCCCACAAGAGAGATTTAAAATGACAACTTTTTCACACAAAATTTACTTTTACACTTAACTTTTGAAAGTGATTGGAAATACTGACACTTTTATATATATCTTAAATTAAAGCTAGTGTAATATACTTTATTACGGAGAAAAAAAATTTCGGACTTTATTTTGTCTTTACGATGAAAATACCTACCGTATGCTATTTTTGTGTTAAAATTTTCGATTTTATATTTTACATTTTTAACTTTAAAATGTTATAACTTTTTGAAAAATGTATGGATCAATACAATTTCTTTATATGAAATATTATTTATATAACTACTTCATCCGACATTTTTTTTAAATCGGACTATTTTCCTTAATACAAGGGAGGTTCAAAACATAAAAATGCATATAGAAAGTAGAAATTTTTCAACTTAACTTTTGAAAGTGTTTCGGAAAGTATGACACTTTTAAATATATCTTAAATTAAAGCTTATGTAATATACTTTAATATTAAAAAAAAAAAATTTCGGACTTTATTTTGTCTTCATGGTGAAAATAGCTACCATATTCAAAAATATGGTATTTTTGTGTTTAAATTCTTGGTTTTTCATTTTATTTTATTATAAGGGGATTACGCTGATTTTCATAAATATTATATCAATCTAATTGAAATAGTATAAAAAGTTAAACATATTTAAATTATTTTGTTTCATTGAAGTCGAGAAAAATAACTTTAAAATTTGAACTAGCTAAATTTCCATTTTTATTAAGTGACGAATGCGAGGTACGATTTCTGAGACGGTAACACTGTTGCACTGAATTTTTTCTGAATTCTTTTAGAGTTAGAAAAAATGTTTAATTCATTGGATTTTTATTTCATTTAGATTCAATAACTTCAATAAATATCATGGATACCAATACTGTAGTCTCCTCTCGTGAGAAGAAATTCATATTAATATTATTTTACTATGTGGTTTTTTTTAGCTATTATTTATTTTCTCAGCTCTCACTTGACCTACTTTTTTGACAAATTTTTTTTTTTAAATTAACACTATCTACAGATTTGCATCGAAGCGTTTTTTATGATAGTGATTTTAATCACTGTCAGATATCATTATACTTGATCCAACTATGACACGTCATCACTGTGCCTCGGCCCCCCGTGCTGGGGTTTTGTTTTTCATATTAAAGTATATTACATAAGCTTTAATTGAATGTATATATATAAGTATTAATAATTCCGAAAAATCTTTGAAAATTAAGTTAAATAAGTTCTTTTTTCTATATGCATTTTTGAGTATTGCCCCCCTCCCCCTCGGATAAAGGGAAATGGTTCGAGTTAAAGGAAAGTCTAATGACTAATGAAATTTCTAATGAAATACATTTTTCAAAAAGTTATAGAAATATAAAGTTAAAAATGTAACTTATAAAATTGAGAATTTTAACACAAAAATAGCATACGGTATCTATCTTCACCGTGAAGACAAAATAAAGTCCGAAATTTTAAAAGAAATCGGTTAAGTGAGAGCTGAAAATAAGTGGCGACAGAAAAAAAAACATCAAATAGTAAAATTAATACTTTCTCTGCTTCGCATCAAAGCTAAAAAGGGTAGTACGTAAATTAAGGCTTGTAAATTTTCATTTAAATATGTGTCAATTTTGTAATTGTTTTAGACTTTTATTTAAAAGGATAGAAGATCTGCGATAGGAAAGATTTATACTTATCTGTACGTACATAGGCGAGTATATAGTAAACATTTTGGTTAAGATACTCATACCACCACTAATTTCCTTCAATGGATCCATATTAGATACCATATTATTAAATGGCCATTTTTGTAGTACCAGTTCCAGGAGCATGCTCAAGATGTTATCGTCAGGGTATACATGAGAAACTTTTTACTACTCCTTATAAAATTACATTTTCACTAAGTAATTATTTTTGACACGAGGCATCAATTCATATCCTCCACCGTTCGCGAGAACGCTCTTGACTGGCTCTAATTACACATTGTTCAATTTTCTTTATTGCTATGATCGTATATCACTTTTATTTTAAAAGACATAACCTACATCTCCTATTATATTAACAACGCCTCTAAACTTGAACTAAGTTGTACGTTGAGAACTGTAATTGATACCCAGCAGGGACTGTTTTCAAAATAATTTGGTATTAAACGATAATTAACAAATTATAAGTTTACAAATTTATAAAAAAAAATTACCCTAAGTGTATATAACTGAATAGAAATACTATAATAACATTTTGAGTATAATAGATAAAAATCACCTAAAATATATTTAATAAATTCCTGATAAGCTATTTTGTTTTTTATTTTTATGATTTAAAGAACAATCATAAAAGTTTATACAACGAAGGAATCATTTCTTTTATTTGGTCAATTGGTTTAAAGGAATTTGTTTTGAGCATAACCCTGTTCATAAATAAAAGTTCAAATTATTCTACTTTTAATAGATATGTTTTGATATGTTAATGGCTCTTGATGTTCCATAGTGAGGTAGCAAATTAATAATATTTATTCTATAATATAGAAATATCATTTCTATCAGTTATAAAAATGAATGTTGAAGGAAGAGGAGGTAGAGGAAGACCAAAAAAGAGATGGAGGGATGTTATTGAATGCGATATGAAAAAGGGTTACGTGTGCGTAGATGATGTGGGAGATCGTGTCAAGTGTAAGTTTAGAATAAGGGTGGCCGACCCCAAGTAGTTGTGATTAAGGCAAGGAAGAAGAAGAAGAAGACTAAAAATATCTTTCTATAGAAGTAAAATAAATAAAAATATTAATATAAACGTATTTAACTATAAATTGAAAGTTGACCCACAACACTAAACTCCTGGATACGCCACTGCGTTGAACCATCCGTAATAGCTGTTATTTAAAATAATTTCTTAAAGCGTTATTTAATTTAAGTCTGGTGTTTTATTTTTTTTTAAGGGCAAAACTAGAACTTTTTCTCGTGGTTTAATTAAAGATCTATTTATTTTGATAATTTAAGATACCCTAACTAAACAAATATGTTTATCAATTTTAGCTGTACTAGTGTTATTGGCCAACAAGGACGTTTAGCTCCAACAGTCAAAGCGGGTGAGACATCGGTCTTGCAGTTTTACAATGTTCGATTTTAAGGCGCGGCTGTGGGACCGATGCGCCAACGCGCCTGGTCGTAAGTCGCTTACCGTAGCGTAACGCCGCAGTCGTTAAACTCGTACACGTCCCATCTCGGGCTATTTTCTTTTTCTCTTCCACCCGTATTTGAACATAGATAACCCTCTCTGTTTCTCTTGCTGTAAGTAGCTGGCGCGCGCGCGCCACACACATTTACAAGAATATATTATAGAGATACCTTTACTCGCACACACACACACACACGCACACATGTTTTTTGTATTGTTGTGTATTGGAAGGGCGTGCGTGAGCGCGAATTCGGCAGCGGTTTGTGACCGAATAGCTGAGTGAGCGAGCGAGCGGCGTCTCCTCCAGACTTGGGTACTCTTGTGACCGCGTGCGTGTGGCTTTGCTGTTATTGCTACTGATCGTTCGCGAGTGAGTGTCCCGTTTTAGCGACCATGGCGAGTACGGTTTGAGTAATTTCCGTTGGTTTTTTTATTTTGGTATTAACAGGAAAATATTTTTAATCAATCATCGATTCATAAAAAGTTGACACGATATTTTTAAAATGTGATTACTCTTCACATGAATCAACGTTGCAGTCTTAGCTGTAATTTTAACTGTTGTTTATTTCGTTAAGAGTACAAGAACAATTAAATAAAATTGACCGGTCGCGTGCAAATCCTTCTATATGGATCTACGACGGTGAACCCAGAAGGAACCACCCGCCTTTGCAAACGACCACCCATTATCGATTGGCCACACCACGCCGGTGACCTAACTGCCTACCTAGCGCACGCCTAGTACTTGCTAGTATTTTTTCAAGCCATCCATCTAAAAGTAAGTAAAAAATTATTTAAATTAACGATTTATGTAGCATATCAATTGTTTTTATTTTAATAACTTCTAAATTGCTTGTTTTCTAAAACATTCCGTCGTTAACCTATAAGTTTTAAATATTTGTTATATTTGTAATAATAACACTATCATTATTATTGTAAGTTGTCATTATTACTATCAATATTATCATAGTGTATTTAAATTTTTGCTTCATTACTCAAGTCTGTTGCCGCCTGACAGCTATTTTTAGTTGTGGCCAAGGGGCTCGCACCAGTCCAGCCAGCGACGATGCTGTCGTCTCTAAATTTAGAGACAGACACCACAGAGCACGTATAATGTACATTTGGCCACGGCCGCCAATATACCATTGCCACCGATGACGATTAGTGCATTTAAACGATGAGGTCAAACGAGCTCTCGAGTTTTTCCCCGTAAACACCAAAGATACTAATTTGATTAGCTTTACCCCGATGCAATGTTAACATAAGCGAGTGTGAAAGATATCACTTCCCAGGAATGGTGGGACGCAAGCAAAACGATATTATCCGGCCTCCGGCGGCAGTTTAAAAAGTTGGCGGTCAACCGGTGTGGGAAAGGCTTACGAAAATAACCCGACGGAAATTGTTATTTTTATCTTAGCCACGGCTATAGTATTGTAAACTCCTTGGTACATAATCGTCACAGCCATAATTTTTTTCATATTATTGTGGCTACACCCTCGAAATTGAGTGTTACCATTAAAATTAAAATTGGTTAAACAAAATGGTATTAAACTATTGAAAAAATTAACAATACTCGTATGTATGAAAAAATAAATAGCATATAGATGACAAGTTATCTCAATTTAATACATAACACATAAATTAACTTTTTAAACTAAGTATAAAATATCTATAACTTAATTATTGATATAGTAGATTAAATTGTAATTGAGATAAAACTTTTTGGGTTTAATTATTTTAATGTTTCCCTGGATAATGAATGTTAAGAGTATTTTAGTTTTATCGATGGATAGTTTTACTTTAGAGATGTATTTTTAATGTAAATACGGGTTAGCTTCCTTGGTGAATACAGCGACTTAACAATAAATGCATTTGTTAATATCAATGTTATTGTTAAATAAAATAGTGATAGTAATTGCATTATAATAGTAGTTAACAGCGATGACAGTAAGAAACGTTAGAAAATAATTCATTTTTATTGTCAATTTTGTTCCAGGAAAAGTTATAATTCAATCGAATCTATTCATTCTCATAAGCCTGGCCGGTCCAGTTAAAAACCGAAGGGTAAAGGGCAAAGATTAATTATTAAGAAGTTTCGCTTTCATTCCCCTCTCATTAGACTATCATTCATAATTTAATATTACTTGTCACGCGTTCGTGTTAATTAGTCAATTGATTTATTTAATAAAACCACTAATGTTTTTATTGCACAAAGGGCTAATTATAATGTCAATAAGTAGTGACTCTGGCAGTACCACTAGTTTTTTTTAACTATTCTTTCAATCAAATTTTTCATAACAAGTGGTGCCGTTTGAGATGTTTTATATGAGCTAAAAAAATGTAAAAGATAATTCATGGGCATCCAATTAATAAAATAAGGGGGGGGTCAAAACTATTTTTTTTTATTAGTCATCATACATTTTTTTAAAGTATATTTCAGGAAATAAAATAAATATATTACAAAAAAAAGTCCCTGTTATAAAAATACTATATGCATTTATTAAAAATTGAACGGTGTGGCCGAGTCGGTAACGCGGCAGTGCTTGACGCGCACTGCCTCGGGTTCGAAACTCGGTCACGGGCGGGTTCATTTGCTGAACGAGATATCAGTTTAGTAATTAGACTCGCCATCCCTCTCACTGGCCGCGGATTAACCAACCGTCCGGAATATCAATGGTTTAGAAACTTCCTCCTTTGGGGGAAGCCGCTAGGCCCTTAATGGACTTATAAAGCGTTAAAAAAAATTAATTAAAAATGATTAAAATTTAAATACATAACTCAACTTTATTGTAATATAACTATACAAATTAAATAACATGTATTTTTAACCTATATAAACAAGACTTTGTGTACACTGTCTAATATCGGTCATTATACAATAATATTTTGTGAAGGATGTAGGTATTTATTATCAAATTTTATTTTAGATAAAAACAATGCATACATTAATTTTTAAATGCAACATTTTTTGGGAGAATTGCACTATTTTCAGAACGGGGCCTCCTTCTGGAAAATACAAGGTTTATAATTGTCGTCAACGGCTGTATGCTAATATCAAGGTTATACATCCAGGGACTGTTGACAGAAACTCTTAGAACAGATAATACTATATTTTCTTTTTTTTTAAATGATTACAGTCAAAAAAATTGAATTACTTAAACTTTTAATTATATTTTCCTATACATCATTGAATAAACAATATGATAGTGATTGTTTTTATGTGCTGTATTACATTTTTTGCATAATATAAAATAATGAAGTGTACAGATGTAAATGTTGTACTTTAGTTTTTTTTTTTTTTAATGGCTAGTTATTATTAAAACAATAACTCTTCGTTTTAAGGAATTAATTTATAGGCGTTTATAAATTTCAATTTAGACGCTTAGGAAGGGTATATATAGTAGCATAGAAATATTTTGCATTTTAAGGAGTAATAAACCCCCTTCCCCCAATTATACCTAAAGTTTTAGTACATTACTATGTTTATAAGTGAGTTAATAAACATTTGTACTGGTTGGTGATTCGTTCAAGATAACTTAACAAAATTTATAAATACATTTAAATCCGTTCCTTAGTTTGGTATTGGTATAAAAATCAATTGTAATTATACTTTTTGTTCGAACAATTTGTTTGTTTAAAAAACTACTATGGCCGAACAATTAGTAAGCTTTATAAATTGGTAAATATAATTTAATGTAGTTAATAGTCAAATTTTATTAATAACAAAAAATTATTATACAAAATTTTATCCATCATTGGTTTCGTTACAAAATTTAAAAAATCATTTTTATAAATTTACATAAGAAGTTAAAATTATTTCTAAAAAATTGTCTAATATTATTTTATTTGATTTTTAAGATATAAATTTTAAAAATTAGATAAAACGTCAGACGAGTAATATCTATACTGGGTTGAGTACAATAGTACAGATAAGCCAGACATTTTTTTTTTTAATTATAACTTATGAACTTTGCAACGAAGTAGACGATACAGTATGTTGAGTATAATAAATCATTGATATTTTGAAGTATTACTTAAAATTAGAATAGAGAATATTGCTAATATAATTAAACATATAGATACATTTCGTTAATCACGATAAATTTTTATAGTGTAATAGTATATTTTAAGTAATCAAAGACGTACTTACGGTGGTTTTTTGAGTTCGCGCTACTTTATCTAACCTAAAAAAACATTATACTGATGTAAAACTCCCTTCAGAATAGATATATCGTTAAAAGTAAATATTTACATTGAAAATAAAAAGTATCAATATACAGAGTGATTCATTAAGGATAAGACACTCGTTTACTCAGTAACTATTGAAAATTTTAAATTTTTGGTAAGGAAAATATTATTTGATTCAAAAAACACTACAATAATATGTAGTAAAAACATGATATTTTTCATCCCTTCAAGGTTAAAAAACATTAACTTGAGTTTTTTTTAAATGAGAACACATATTTTGAATTTAATAAAATGTTTGAGTTTTTAATTTAATAGTAAATGACATATAAATTTTTAATATAATTTTATTCGTTGATTAGATATAAACACTTAAAGTTTCAAATTTTTGAGTTAATATACATGTATAATATACATGGGTTTACAAATACAGGTAGCTAATTGGTTTTTTATGACATTGCTGTCACAGTCACGGATTGTTCATTATCAATTATGACTATCAAGAGATATACTTTCTGTATTATCAGTTAGTGTATTTATAAACTCACAACAATGTGCCTTACTACCATTGATAATAACAATGCTGTGTACCTGCTAATATCAATGTCATAAAAAACCAATTAACTACCTGTATTTGTAAACCCTTGTGTATTATACATGTATATTAACTCAAAAATTTGAAACTTTAAGTGTTCATATCTAATCAACGAATAAAGTTATATTAAAAATTCAAATGTCTTTTGCTATTAAATTAAAAATTCAAAATTTTTATTAAATTCAAAATATGTGTTCTCATTTAAAAAAAACTCAAGTTAATGTTTTTTAACCTTGAAGGGATGAAAAATATCATGTTTTTACTACATATTATTGTAGTGTTTTTTGAATCAAATAATATTTTCCTTACCAAAAATTTAAAATTTTCAATAGTTACTGAGTAAACGAGTGTCTTATCCTTAATGAATCACCCTGTATATTGATACTAATATTTCTTAAAATATCATTTGCAAAACAAGTGGTTTTTAAAAAAATCCTTCAGAACCAAAGAAAGTTAGAATTCTTATAATAATTTTTTATAGCCATTGATATGAAAAAAATTAAAAAATCTTGATAGTATTTGTTATGTGATGAAGTAAAACAAATGCAAACCAAACCTAAGTTAAGTCAATCAATACATAATACTTAAGGAGTAATATTATTCAATCATAAACTTAATTTTTTTCAGTTGTCAAATTAAGAAATAATTAAATAAATATAAGAATCACATTAGTTAAGTCTATATTAAAGTTTAGCAATCATTTGAAGTTCAATTCAAAGTGAAAAATACAGTTCTTAATGTCATTAGACTTTGGTTAATAAAGTTATGGTAGTTTTCTAATTTAGTGAACAATGTGTTTTTAATTTTAACTATGTATTAATTTTTTTTTTTTTAATATTTCTACAACGAATTAATTTATTACAAAAAACACTATATATCTTATAATATCAAAATAACAAAAATCTCATTTTTTATATGATTTTTAATTTAACGGCAATGTTTAAATTTAATTATTGTAATTTAATCATGACATTGTTTCACTTAGAAACGTATAACGA